GTATCCAATCGGCAGCGTCCAAAGTTCAATCATACGTTTCAAACATATCCAATAATTTGATATTTGAATCCAAGCCCGGTTAGCTTGTAATTTTCTCGTTCGAACAAAACATCTTTTCTTTTCAAAACTTTTTTTATTAACCTGAATTCCACTCATCTCTACAAAGGTTTTACATCAAGTAACTATCCACAAAGATTGACATTACAAATCCACTACATACATAATTACAATTAAATAATTAAAAACTACTATAAAAAAACCTACGTAATTGCTATACAATGTTCTTGAACTTTCTGCACCAAATTTACAACAATCAATTGCAAAACATGCATTTGCTAAGGTTGTTTCTTTTTATTTTGCTACCAATTATCTTACTCCTGATTCCATTCTCTAACTCTACATATCTCTTATTTGTCTTTGATGCCATATTTAGGCTGGTTCGACTACACCTTTTTAAGATTAAATAATTTAGAACATGGAAGATGTAACTAAGAAACGTAAAATGTAATTTAGAAGGTAAAAGATAGATAAATGTAGATTATCAGAATGAAGTTTGTATTTTTAATTTTGTTGCCTTAGTTTACCTTGTAATTTAAGGTTAGATCCTAATTTGAAAAAGATGGCCATATAAGTCGGTTTTCAATAAATAATAATGTATTATCAATAAAATTAAAAAATGATGAAAAAGGCATTTGCGGTTTTGTCGGTAACTGGAAAAAAGGTTAGTTAGAACTTTCATTTTTTTTTTTTTTTTATGAAAAATTCACTTAAGAAATCAGATGAATAATAAATAAAACACAAATAAATTATTTACAAAAAAATATAAAGATTTAAAATGAGTTTAAACAATGTCATTAAAAATCATTGTAATATTCAGTTAAACACCTCAATGTAATGAAATCACTACTAAATTATTGTAATATTCAGCTAAAGGACAGCTAAAGGCCGCAATACCAATTTTTCCAAATACTGTATTTATTGTTCCACAGCCCCTGCACCAAATACAGATGGAATACGAATCGCATTTTTAACGTTACTTTTAATTTTAGGCCAGATTGTTTCTACCGGGTTTAACATTTGACATTAGGGTCCTAAAAGTTACAACGGAGCTGGAAAACTTTTAAACACCTTTTCCTAAAGAGCGTGACATGGAGCATTGTCTGTTACAATGACCAAATTCTCTGAAGGACTCCTAAATGTAACCCACTGGGGAAACATAACCAACTTCTACTCGTTACAATATTCTGCATTAAATAATCCTCTGCAAGTTTCCATCATGACGATATTTGTTGTTGATATAGCTGCAGTCAATGCTCTTTTTTCCTGTTTGACACGTCCTTGCGTTTTTTTACAAAAACAGTTAAAATTTGTTTTAAAAAACCAAACTATCTGATGATCACTTGCTATTTGTTCGCTGATGTTTCTAACATATTCAACTCTTTTTTGTTTTTTTTTCTTACTGTTTCTTGTAGAAAGTACTATAAGCACTTTTTTTAATGAAAACAATTTTCGAGGTAAGTTCTGCCATGGTGGTTGCTGTTGTTTTGACACTAATATTAAACTGTCTTCATATTTTTGTTATAATAAATTGTCATAATATTTTTGTTTTGATCCTCAGTTATTTTTTTGGTTTAAAATCACCTCTTCCGATAAAATTTGAATTTCTGCTACGAACCCAATTGAAAGCTAACTTACATTTGACCCCTAAATTTTGCCACAGAGTTACTCAATCATCATTTCGCTCAACACACTCAGCAACTCTTTTTCTGTCATTTGGCGGTGATAAAACGTAATGTTTACTTTAAGTTTATTCGTTTGTATGTATTTTATGCCGAAAATTGAATACGTTGGTTTTGGTTGTACCAGAAGCGGATTTAAGCAATTTGGAGAAATAAATGCTCGCACGGATTTAATTTAATACTTTTGGGTTATAGTGTATTAACTAATAGCACAACGATCTTTCAATTCTATTATTATTAGTGGTGCATATAAATGCTTAATTTGATATTATCGTCTTCTTCAAATTCATATTTCAGAAAGCCTTTTATTATGACCTATGAGCTTACTTTGTAAATTTGCAATAACAAGTTATGAATTCTCATTTACATATTACGATTTCTTATTTACATGTCATGTTTCTCAATTACATATTTCGATTTCTTAATTACAACTTTCATGTTCTCAATTACATCTTCAAAGGGTGTTATAACGCTCTCTCTTTTCTAGACAAGGTCCAAATGTGTATTTTAATCATAATTGCACCTGCATTACCTGAATGAGACTCTCTCCTATCATTGTAAGGTTGAATATTTTTCTTGTTTATAAAAAAAAAAATTATCATGGTTGCTACTCAAAAGAGCTATCAACTTTATTTACATTAATTAAAGTACATTGCTCGACTCAGTGAGGATTAAGACTTCTTGAGGCCCGTGGCTATTTCTATTTTTGGAGGCGTTTTTATGGACCAGAGCCTAAAAATGACTAAAAAAAAAAGATCCCCTAAAACTTTTAGGGGCCTCTTAATTTACGGGGCCTGGGCCTATAGCCCCCTTTAATTCAGCACTGGCTTGACTCGTCAGCAATATCACATCTTTCTAACGAATCTATCCTTTTATGCTCTAAAAACATTTGCTCGTCCAGTTTTTCTAAGCACTTCAACCCTATGGAATTCTGTCCTATCTTCATTTTTTCCTGATGCATACAACCTACAACTTTTTAAGTCTGAAAAGTCAAATGTTTTCTTGCCCTTTAACTCTATTGATAGTGGTTGCTTTCAGCCTTGTTGGGTGTATATTTGATTTAAGTATAGTTATACTTCATCAAACCAAAATTCAACAAAATCATCAAAATCTTTACATATCAGCTAATATATGTATATATCACATCGTGCAATTTTTATTTAATAGTATGCACTAATAAAAGCTATACCAATTTGGTATAATTAACTATAACTTTAAATGTTTGGATAAACGTAATGTCACGCTGTACACAGTTATTTACACAAGCCAGATTTTTTACAAAATACTTAAACGATTCATTCTTAAACGATGGCTTTTTAGGTCATGGTTCAAAAGAAATTCCTAGAAAACTATCATCAGACTAGGTGGAAGAAGTTCCAAGATATGACCACTTCTCCAAAACTGCATGGCAGTGATTTTAATACACAAGCAGACTGGACTGAAATCAAAAACTGGATTTTTTCACTTAAACATATATGCATTCAAAATACAGCAAGAGTTTACAGTCATCACCTATGAATTCCTTTGGCTTACGATGATTAAATCAGACCATTTATTACAGAATTTTTTAAACATGAGAATATCTGGTACAAACTAAAAGCATCTGGCAAGAGCAATTTAGACAAGCCATCCATAGCATTTTCCAACCTATATATAACTCAAAAAAAAAGCACGCTCCACTAATTCTGCGAGGGAGTAGTACTAAAACTCATCGTAATAGCAAGTGTTTTGAATTTCCATAATCTTAGCAGTTCGAAACTCATATTAGCAGCAGCTTTACCTGTACCAGAAGTCATTTTAAAAGCTAACATGAGTTATGTGCTGCTATCATTAAACAAAGTAATCAGAAGTGAGAGTTGGTTAATCTTGTAGCTGACATCACCTGTTACATCAGGTAGAAGCTTTCTATCCTAATTTACTATTAATTCACTACTATTGGTGCTTAAGTTCTTTTGTATTTAATGTGCCAGTTCCTGACAACGTTTCTTTCTGTGTCACTAAATGTGCTATTTGAGAGAATAGCAATTGACGTTGAACATGGAGCCACTTTGTTAACTACAAAAGCAGTTACCATGGTAGATTTTTGTATGCTTTAAGTATACACAACCAATGCTGCCAGTTCGTGATTCTTGTTAGAACATTAAAAATTCTTGCCCTCTTCATTTGATACCATTTGATAGGCATTGGCGTAGCTGATATTAAATAGTTTATTAAGTTTTTTAGTATACAATTTTTGTTTATGTGAATCCTTGTAACTAATTATTAATCTTTATTATAAACAAGACCTCATTAGTCTTGTTTATGATAAAGATTTTAATCTTAAATTGTTTAATGGGACACCTTGATTTTTTTTCAGAATGGAAGAACCTGGCTGTACACTCGGCCAGCAATGTCGGAAAATATTTATTTTTTTATGTGGTGATAAAACAAAAAGGCTTTCATAATATCACAACAAGACGGAAAACGAGCTTTTGCCATTGTTTTGCAAGGGTGTCTAATTAACCAGATTTTCACTCCAAGTATGTTTAGATTCTGAAATTATTTTGCAAGTTTTTTAGTATTCAAAAACTTATCTGAAAAATTTATTAAAACTCTTAGTACATTAAATTATTTTATAAGCTTTTTATTAAGGATGTCTACTCATTCACGTGCTACTCATTATTTCTCAGTTAATGACTATGCAACTAAGATCTAGTAGATCTGTATTTAAACATTGAAGCAAACTCTTTTAAATATTGAATGCAAGTAATAACAAAAACTTACCAAGTTTTATTTCTGCTTTAGCTGTTATTCAAAATCTATAAATAATTATGCTAAAAAGCAAAATTTATTAAATGTCAGAAAGTCGTTATACTAATGTATGAAACATTAGTATAATTGCAGTGAAAAAAGTTCATTAATTAAAATTACCATAATCAGGCAATGCTGGCATTACGTTTTATAAATTTGAAGGTTTTCATATAAATTGAGAACCTTGAGAGAACCCTAAATATTCTTTTTACATTTTGCAATTTTTTAAATAGACAAGTAATCACTAATAAAATGTTTTGATGGTGAGACTTTGAATTTTCCAAATAAACAATTTTTTTCACTTTTTGAGACCCTAGTTTATAAACATGCCTATACACAACATGAAGTAGCCAATAACCATCTGCGAAGTTTTAGAAAACACTGAGAGTCTTAAATTGCAGAAAAAAAAACTCTGGCTTAGGCATTTCATGTTTTAAAAATAAAATTATAACAATTAAAAACAAAATATACCGTAAAAATCTTGCTAACGCTTGCAATAGGAAAGGGAGTATCAGTGTTAAGATTTTTGTTTGTTGTATAAGAATAATTGAATTTCCAAATTTCTTCTCCAAAATATGTCACAGTGATGGAAACTGCCTAAAAAAAATTTTTTATTGCATTTTACGCTTGCTTATATAATTGCAACAACATTTCTATTCTAAATAACTTAAATATAATAATAATAATAGCAATAATAATAGCAATAATAATAATAATAATAATAATAATACAAGTTTAAAGCTATAGCATTACAAAAAAAAAAAAAAACGAAATGCAGTATTAAGTAGCATTGTAATAGCCTTGTTCTAATTATTTACAATTTTGTTGTTAAAATAAAATGTTTTGGTATACACAGTTTTATGATCTGCTTAGTAATAAATAATGTTAAAATTTTTTTTTTTTTTACAAAATCTCAAAATAAAAGGCTTTTTAACAAAATTCATTTTCTTAGTACCTTATTACCACAAGTTAACCTAAAGTACTTTATAACCACAAGTTAACGCAAAGGCTAGGAGATGCAAACTCCGACATAAATCTTGGTTGAGTAAAGGCTAGAGATGGTGTCTCGATAAAAATACTCATCTTGGGCAGATGTTACATGCATCCGGCTGCTGTCTTATAGAAGACCTCCTAGGCAAAGACTTAAGGGGTAAACAGATTCTATCTGTTGACCAGCCTGGCACCCCTTCTTCATCTATTAGGCTGACGCAGATGTACTTTTAATACATTGTTTCCAGTTTAGGATGTTGAACGCTGGATCTTCTTGACTCGATTCATGGGTTTTGCTTGTGTCTCTGTTTTTATGACTACGCAACTCATTCTATTATCTCCAAATAAGGGTACAGCTCTAAAACTCAGCTTTATGGTTCTGAGGCCGGCTGGTAGTCAGGTTTCCCAAACTCTGTGGTAGCTCTCAGAGAGGCTGATTCCATCAACAGCTTAAAAATATCAGAGTACTAACAGTGCCATGTTGCGCATGGATGGTGTCCCTGTTTGTACTTTTGGTGTGCATTGCCGAGACTTATTGAAGCTCTTTGTTACGGCTTAGGGTTTATTAGTGGAAATGAGGCAATTGCTTGAGCTATAAAATAGTGTACTGAGTTCTATCTATGTTTCGAGTCAAGTTCTTTAACAAATTTAAAAATCAATAAAGCAACAAAAACTATAAAACACAAAAAACCACAGTCATCACCAAGTTCGCTAAACCTATCATTCACCAAAATTCGTGGTCATCGAAGTAACTTTTCTTCTGTTGAGTCTTATCTCTTGCAAAGTTCACCAGACCTACTTGCTCTTTGTGAGACTAATCTGAGTTCAGCTGTCTCATCTTGTGATCTAAGTGTTGATGGTTATCTTCCTTTAATTCGTAAAGACTCCAATAGTCACATGCTTGGCCTGGGCATTTAAATTCGTAAGAATTCGCCCATTTGTCGGGAAACTAGGTTTGAATCCACAGACTACTCTTTTGTGTGCTTTCGTTTAGCACCACTTCACTCTATCACCTTTCTCTTTGTTCTATATCGCTCTCCCTCATCTCAAGACTGCACTCTTCTTGATGTTATTTCTGATTATATTGACCAAGCCCTCATTCTTTATCCATCAGCCAATATTGTTGTTGTTGGTGACTTTAATGTTCATCACACTGAATGGCTTGACTCTAGTGTCAGTGACTCTGCAGGCATTTAGGCCCACAACTTTTGTCTTTCTCAATCCCTAACTCAAATAGTCAACTTTCCAACTCGTTTTCCAGACAACCCGAATCATTTACCTTCTCTACTCGACTTATGTCTTGTTTCTGAGCCTAGTCAGTGCTCAGTTTCTTCACACTCTCCCTTAGGTGCTTCTGATCATGGTTTGGTCTCTCTAAAACTTTTATCTCATTCTTCTTTACCATCAGAATCCCCCTATCATCGTATATCTTACAACTACCTTAAAGCTGACTGGGACTCTTTCCGTGATTTTCTTCGTGATGGCTCTAGGGTAGAAATCTTTCGTCTCCCTGTTGACAAATGTGCTTCTTACATAACTTCGTGGATTCAGGCTGGCATGGAATCCTTTTTTTCCTCTCGACGATTCCAGGTCAAGCCTCACTCTTCTCCATGGTTTTCCTCACATTGTGCTGCTGCAATTGCCAATCGAAACCATTACTTCCATATCTACCAGCAAAACAATTCTCCAGAAAATAGATGTCTGTTCATTACTGCTAGGAATCATTGTAAAAAGGTTTTGTCTAACGCCAAAGCCCGCTATTCTCAGATCATGAAATCTCGTATTTCAGCACAAAAATTAGGCTCTCATGACTTCTCGAGAATATTTAATAGTATCAATAATAAGGGCAAGCCTGTAATTCCATCTCTTTTGTATGGTTCAGACTTTGTCACCTCACCTAAAGACAAAGCTGAATTGTTTGCCAAGAACTTTTCATCAATATTATCTCTTGATGCCACTAGTTGCATTCTACCTGATATAGCCGTTAAACAGGTTGATCCATTGCTCGACATTCGTATCACTCCAGCTTCTGTATCTAGAGTGATTTCCCGCTTAGACTCTTCTACAGCTTGCGGCCCGTACAACATAACTGTTATAGTCTTGCAGAAGTGTTTTCCGGAGCTTTCATCTATCCTTGCAAAACTATTTAACAAGTGCTTATCAGAGTCTTGTTTTCCAGCCTGCTGGAAAGCAGCATCTGTTATCCCTATTTTTAAAAATTCTGGAGAGCGATCTGATTCGTCTAACTACCGTCCCATTAGTCTTCTTCCTATCATAAGCAAGGTTTTTGAATCTTTAATTAACAAACAATTAATCTCGAATCTCGAATCTCATAACCTACTTTCTCATCATCAATATAGATTTCAATCTTCTCGTTCTATAGCTGATTTGCTAACAGTAATAACCGATAGGTTTTATCCTGCATTAGATAAAGGTGGAGAGGTTAAAGTCATTGCTCTTAACATTTCTAAAGCATTTGATAAAGTTTGGCATGCTGGTCTCCTCCATAAGCTTTCTTCTTACGGTGTATCTAGAAACATCTTTAAGATTATTGAATCCTTTCTTTCCAATCGTAGTATAAAAGTTGTCCTTGATGGACAGCACTCTTCTTCTTATTCTGTAACCTCAGCGGTTCCCCAAGGCTCAATCCTTGGCCCTATGCTCTTTTTAATTTACATTAACGATCTTCCAGATATTCTCACATCTAAGGTGGCATTGTTCGCTGATGATACTACCATTTATTCTTGTCACGATAAGAAGCCAACTCCCTTTGATTGCTTGCAGGGGGCATCTGAGCTTGAAAAGGATCTCACTTCTGCTACAGCATGGGGCTCACAGTGGCTTGTGAAATTCAGATAAAACTCAATTTTTTCGGCCAATCGTTATCGCAATAATTTAGACCTTCCTATATTTATGAACGGTAATGTACTCGATGAGTCTCCTACCCTTCATCTTCTAGGATTAACTCTTACTTCTGATCATTCTTGGAAACCTTATATCAAATCCGTTGCAAATTTAACATCTGCTAAAGTTGCTTCTCTTTATCGAGCTCGTCACTTTCTTACTCTGGATTCTATTCTCTATCTCTATAAATCTAAAATTCGGTCTTGTATGAAACACTGTTGTATTATATGGGGCGGATCTTCTAATGATGCTCTTTCTCTTTTAGACAAGGTGCGAAAACGCATTTTAAACATAGTTGGACCTGCTCTTGCAGCCAACCTTCAACCTCTGTCACATCGTCGTAATGTTGCTTCTCTTTCTCTTTTCTACAAATATTATAATGGGCACTGCTCGAATGAGCTAGCGTCTCTTGTGCCATCTACTAAAATTCATTCTCGTGTTACTCTTCATTCAATTAAGTCTCATCTTTTTTCTGTTACTGTTCCTAAGTGCTCCAAAAACTCTTATTCGTCTAGTTTTTTCCTCGAATATCAGTTCTTTGGAATTCGCTTCCTTTATCTTGCTTTCCTGATTCATATAATTTGCAATCTTTTAAGTCGTCTGTTAATCGTTATCTTGCTCTACAATCTTCATCTTTTCTCTTCTAGTAACTTCCAACACTAATTAGTGGTTGCTTGCAGCCTTTTTGGAAGCGAAGATAATTAAAAAAAAAAAGCCAAAAGTTAACCTAAAGTACTTTATAACCACAAGTTAACCAAAATACTTTATAACCACAAATTAACCTAAAGTACTTTATAACCACAAGTTAACCTAAAGTACTTTATAACTAGAAGTTAACCTAAAGTACTTTATAACCACAAGTTAACCTAAAGTACTTTATAACCACAAGTTAACCAAAGTACTTTATAACCACAAGTTAACCTAAAGTACTTTATAACCACAAGTTTACCTAAAGTACTTTATAACCACAAGTTAACCTAAAGTACTTTAAAAAAATGATATGAATTGTCATTTTTTGTCATGAATTTAACTTCTAAATTCATGACAAAAAGTCATAAATTTAGAAGTTAAATAGTTCAATCAACTTTTTTACAGATGTATTAGTCAAATTAGTCAAATATGTATTGACTGTAAATAAAATCACATATATGTATATCTGCAAATCACATATATGTATATCTGCAGATCACATATATGTATATCTGCAAATCACATATATGTATATCTGCAGATCACATATATGTTTATCTGCAAATCACATATATGTGGGTTGGACAGACATTAAAATATCTTTTAAATTTACTTACACACGAAACAATATCTTTTTATACCTATAAAATATGCTTTTGCCATGGTCATGACATTAAACCTTTATCTGGTTGATGTAACAAGTGATGACAGCATGCTAAGCAGTGACTTTGGTTGTATTTAAAGAAATAGGACGGAGGCTCAAGCTTGGTAGCTGGAGCAGGGTCGATAAAATTTACTATGCATTTTTAGACATTGTCAAAAAAAGTTTGACTTTGTCAAATTCTGACTTTGTCACGGATTGTATAAATGGTTTCACGAGAATACAGTAGTCAATGATGATGAGAGAAGACATGAAGTAGAAGACTCAGGAAGAGCGCTGCAATTCATCTGTATAATGAATATGAATAATGTTAAATACAATATTTATATTTAATATTATTGATATTCAAATAATTTACTATCTCTATAAATAACCATTATTTTATAAATGAAGCAAATAAGCAAATGTTTTATATAAACTTCAATATTGACAAAAAATGCGCAAATCATGGTGTGAATTAATGTCAAGGCGAATAAATGAGAGACCAAAAGATATCAATCAATACATTATGATACCAAAGAAACTAAGAAGAAATAATCAGACCTTCAAGCATATGATGGGAGATAAAATTTATTTTATTTTAACAACTAATTTAAGTCAGCCTAAATTAATCAACCCAAGGTAAAGTCTGTCTGTTGATCTGTTTAGTTTTAATTTTAATTTAGAGTCCAATGCTTGTTTTATATATATATATATATATATATATATATATATATATATATATATATATATATATATATATATATATATATATATATATATATATATATATACTTTTAAAAATATATATATATATACTTTTAAAAAAACCAATCAACAATATAAAAGTTGTAAAAGTAAAATCTATTTAACTTAAAAAAATGTTTGAGGATTTGACAACCACTGAGGGTTTAACCTTTTGTCAAAAATTATTTTATTGAGGTCAGTAATTGTCTTTTAAAAAAAACCTAAATGAAGAAATAAAGCTAGGGGAGTATTTTAGGCATATTTCATGATAATTTATTATTAAAACTTCTTTTTTTTTGGATATTAAAAGCATTTCAAAATCAAAAAAAAAAATTATGTTTAATGGGGTATTTTAACTAAACTTAAAACCTCAAAGTTAAAAATTAAAAACAAATTTAAGTCATAAATTAAAAAAAAAAAGTTAAATGCATAAACACAAGCGATGTCAAAGACTGTTCTAAAATTTTTTTTTTTGTATTTCTTATTTTGAGGTTTCCTCCTTAGTAAAGGTTTGTGAAATTATAAATATTTAATATTCAATTCTCCTCCAAGTTCTTTTGAGCATTTGTACAAACTATATACTTAAAAGGGGGAAAAGTGTTGTAAAAGAAGGATTTTTTAAATGTGATTATTTAACTTGTTTATTTAAATAAAAATTCAGAGGGTAAAAAAAGTTATTGCTCATTTCCTCAGCTAAATTTATATCTTTCTATAAGAGTTGTATCATAAATGTGGAAAAAATATCTTAAAAAAATTTTCAGAGATTAATAGTGCACCTTTTGAAAAATTAAAAAGAAATATTAAAGTCACCAAAAAATTTAGAATATCCTTTTTAAACAAATCGTGTTATGTAAAAGTATATTTAACCTGAAGATTACCTGAAAAGTACACATAACTATAATCTCTTATTATAAAATAATATAAAATAATAAAAGCTCTAAAATGACAGTTTTTTAAAAGCATACCAGCACTTACTATATCAAAAAGTAAGGTAATTAAAAGTTGATTATACAGGTTTAATTAGTCCTAAGTGTACTCTAGGTCAAATTTACCAAGTAACCTACCACCCCACACTTAACAATGTGTACTCTATTTATAACTAAATTATAAATCACAGATTTTTAATTAAGTTATAATTTATTTATAATATAGACGGGTTTTTTACTCAGCTTTAATTGCGTACCATTTTTTCGACGTCACGAAGTTTTATTAATTAGAATCCAGGGATTGATATTCAGATAAACAAATTATTTTGGCAAGCATTGCTGCTCTATGAACTCTACAAGCATTGCTGCTCTATAACATTAAGCATTGCTCTCTATGAACTCTATAAGCATTGCTGCTCTATGAACTGCAGATCATTTCTTAAAAGACTTATGACTGTGATATTAGTTTATATTGGCATTGGAAAAAAAATTGAACGAGGTTTTTTGTTTGAAATAATGATCCTAGAGCGTTAAAATTTTTTTTATTGAATTTAATGTCAACGAGATAAAATGATGTATTAAGTGTCATGAACAAAAAAAGGTGAAAAAAGATGTCGGTTTAAGTAAAACCAACTGCAACTAATAAAACTAAACCTTATTAAAAAAGGGCAGAATATTTTGATACCTGTTGCATTAAAAATATTCAAGACAATATTATTTAACTTAGAATACTATAAATGGAATTGATTCTTCTGTATATACTTATTAATTACGTACACAAGTCTACTATTTAATCAAATTGATATGCTATTTGATATAACTGGCACAATAAGCATTATTAGTAGTCAAAACAGCTACATACAACTAAAAAAACTGTTAAAACAGCAAGATGCAATTTGATTGCAAATTGTCTTGGTAGTGCACAGATAACATTTCACTTTTTATGTTTGTTAAATGGTTAAATAATTAATAAGCCATCAACTTCTGAAAAAAATAATTGCTTCTGAAAGATTTTTGACTGATCAATGTGTGACAGACCTATAATATTGTCAAAATAGTTATTTTTATAGCTACGTATCTGAATAACTATATTATTGGTTTAAGATTAACATGTTTTTTTAATTCTGTTTTGACATCTAAAGTCTTAGATGTTTAAAAATTTTTACAAATAGTAATTTTACACTCTTTCATCAATAAAAATTTTTCTGACGAGTCTTTATAGATAAAACACAGTGTCGCTATGGTAACAGATAAAGAACATATGCATAAATTATGCATATAAAAACACAAACGGTATAAGTACTACATAAGTAAAAGGTATAACCCAGCAAACACTCGGTCTAAAAAAGACGTCTTTTAAGCGTATAAAAAATGTGTAATACGTTTAAAAGACGTCTTTCATAGACCAAATGTTTGCTGGGAAGTACTTGTTTAAACTTAAAAATCAAGTTATAAAAAGTCCTTTTGTTGTACCTACTTCATATTTCCCATTAAATAACTCTGGTCCAATTTCGCTTTTTGAAGATAGAACAGCTTCCTGATATTCTGAGTAATTTATAATGTTAGAAATACTTTTCGCATATACTCTTTCAAAACACGGCTCTGATGTTTGCAACGGAATTTTGGTTATCTAAATAAAACAAGATGTTTTAATATAAAAAGTGCAAAGAAAAAAAAAATTGTTACACCAAAACTTCAACGGTTGCGTTATTCTATACTTTGATAGAGAATACCTAGCTAATACTGCTCTCACAGTTTGATCGGTTTTGATTTTTTTTAGTAAGTTATTAAATGATTTTTACGTTATTACAGCATTTAAAAATATGGTCTCCCTTTTTTTTTTAATGTTAATATGTTTAAATTGGCAGGGGTTGAAGTTATCTTCTTACCCCATCTTTACCCCATCATTAGTATACAGCATAATTTTAATTTGAAATCTAGTAAAAAATATTTTAATTTTTTTATGTTACTCTCAGTCATTTTTATAAAGCTATAAATACTTTAGTTTTACTGTAATAATGCTAAAAATATTTTAGAAGAAAAAAACATTTTTGATACTGAAATGTTTTAAATCACCAGATTCTTCCTCAACTCTTAGATATTTTATATATTAGTGGTGGCCTGAAATAAAGTTATAATAAATTTATGGAAAAATTACTAATTTTATTAAAAAACATAGAAATATGGATATTTGGACGGTAAGATATTGAAGATGGTGGCTCGGTGTCCAATTTAGCTCCCGGGATACGCACGGTGGTTTTAGGCTGATAAAAACTTTTAGCCTATTCTTTCAATTGTATTTAATTACCAAGCTATAAATGTTAATAATAAGAATAATTAAGTTGTAATAACTTAAATTAAGAAAAATTGAATTTTGAGAAAAATTGAATTTTGATTTGTTACTTGAAAATGTGATAATTTTGTCAGTTTGAATAAATTATTACTTTTTAAATCCTCTAAAGTCAATCCTTCAAATTTTATAACAACCCTATTATTTGACCAATTTCAAAGTTTCATGTCACAATACTATACATATTTTGGTTCTACCACCATTTTATTTTGACCTTGCCGTTTCGTTTTTTGTAAAAAAATATATTGTAATAAACTTAAATAGATTAAGCTGATTACAAAATGTTGTATCGAAAAAAAAAAAAAAAAAAATAGTTAAAGTAACATATTATTATTACTAATATACTGTTTTTGCTATAGCAAGATTTTCAATTATAACATCGTGGTTTCATCCTAATTTGATTTGATTTTACCTGCTTTGATACATTTTGATATTTAGTAGCAAATTTTTATTTGTGCAAAAATAAAGAGTGAATAAATAATACATTAAAGTTATTTGAAAACATGACTAGACAATTTTGTTGTTTCATAAAACTTAAACCGTTCCAAAGTAGCAGAGCTCACATCAAATCAGTATATGTTAAATCATCCAACAGTAGTCGGTGAATTTACAGATAACAATTATTCTTTATCAAACAATCTGACGGAGAAAGAATTATCGATTTTATTGCAAGAATCAAATAGCTAGCAATTCTCTTTGATTTTCATAAAGAACTTGGTTGTTCAACCTACAAATGCCCATCTAATTATTTGGAAGATATATTTAAATCACAATAAATAACAGGAATCACGAACCTCACTCGCCAAAGTGGAAGTTATCTTGGAAATTAATTCATTAGCAACATTGATAAGCTGACCGATCGCCGAATAATAATGGAATCCACCGAGATGGCAACGTTATATTTTCAACACACAAACAAAAATACAAATAGCTGGATAGCTCAGCTAGAGTTATAATATCAAAACAGATCATATCATTGATAAATTATGAAACCCCACCCAAACAAATTAAATTTCATAGAATGCGGTTGCCTTCATCCAGTGAGGCCACACCTCACTGGATGAAGGCAACGGTCTACCTACAATAAAATATGTAAAAATTAGAGAAAAGGAAATCATTTTCTTTATGTATACAAAAGCATTAAGACATCTTACATAAAAGAAAACGACCAGAGAGAAATATCATTTATATCGTCGGTAGCTAAAAAGAATACACGAAAGAGCCCTAGTCCCTAGATAGTCTTAATATACAATCGTATATCAGGACTATCAATCTCTTTTTGACTAGTAAAAAATGGTTCGATAACTGTACACCACAAGAATTTAGCTTTATTGGCTGAAGAAACTTTCAAAGTTAAATTGGGGCTTGTCTGTAAATTGATGGAAAAGATTTTATCGTTTTCGTAATATTAGTCTAAGAGGGAATAAATTTGCATATAACAATATACAGACTGTGAAATACGGTCTTAAGTCCATTTTCGCATTTGGGATCATCAATTTGGAATTTGGTACCGATGAGTTGCAAATCAGCATTAACTCTGAAAGTATGAATTGAAAATCAAAATATTGGATTCCAAATCACTGTCCCTGCAAATTACGAATTACCTATGTCTAAGACATTCGATTTATAAAGTCGCACGTTTAATTTATGGAAATTTTAAATTACTCGTTATTTTAATTTTTGTTTTTTGGCTATTGATTTATTAAATATTTTCTTGAACTTTTTTATAATTGCTTTAGTTGACTTCAACTAGCCTAATATTGAGCTTCTTAATTTGTAAATTAAAGCGTCAACTGTAAATAAATTGTAAATAAATAAATAAGTAATCGTCGACAGCTACTGACCAAATATGACAAATAGATCAAAAAGTGCCACACAAAAGACAAGATAAAAAAAATTTCACTGTAAATAATCTTGAGTCATTGTCAGTTTTATCAGTAAAACTCAAAATAAAAGTCTAGAACCTTCATCCGCTAACTACATAAAACAAATAAAATAATTTTACATAACAACATTAGATATAGCCGAAACTGATGCCCATACATGTACTGCTAACTCAGACATAATAAAAAAATGTTCGTTACCAGAACAATTTTAAATTAAGGCATAGAATTCGGGGTGTCACCGCAAACAAACTTAAATTTAAAAATACCAACAAAACAAAGCTAATTTTAAAAATATCAAATAAATCACCGGAAGCATTTCACAAATCAGCAAACGATTTATTCAAAAAGACATAATTAAAAACAATTATATTAGAAAAATAAGGTTGTTCTTGGAGATGCCTCAGAAACGTAAGATCCGAGGTTCAAACCCCACCTCTGGGCAAGCTTTGCGACATCGGTTGGGAAGGAGGCGTGAACTTCCCATTAAATGCTCTTCCGTGGTGCTCTGTGATAAGACCGTAAAAACTTCTTGGGGCACCTTAATCAACTTAAAAATAAAAAAAAAAAAAAAAAAAATGTCACGAATAGTGATTTTGTCAAATACCGAATACCGAATAGGCGCTCGCCGGAAGCACCGAATATTCAGCAGCTAAATATTGGGTGACACTTAGTTGAATATTGGGTGACACTTAGTTAAATTAGCTAAATATTGGGTGACACTTAGTTAAATATTGGGTGACACTTAGCTAAATCACTTAGCTACTTCAGCTAAATATTGGGTGACACTTAGTTAATTTTGAAGGTTCCGATCTGCTTCATTGAAGTGGATACGTTAACTATGCAGTGTGTGTTTTTGTTTCATTTTTGACTAGGACGTGCTAAAGCATGCACTTTTAATTGATTGATCTATCAAATTGTTTTAACTATAGTTATATATAAAAGTAAAATTGTTTTAACTATAGTTATGTATAAAACTCTTCATAGCATTCAAAAAGATTATGAAAATAGCTACCTCAGATATATCTTGCACTTCTAAGGTAATTTAAGAAGTTGCTATTGATAGACAAAGCATAAAGAACTATGAGCTTATTAAAAATGATATCTTTATTACACCCTGAACTTTATTGGGTTAGCTTACGGTACTTTATTGGGGTGCTTTAGTACTTTATTGGGGTACTTAGTTTACGGTACTTTATTGGGGTAGTTTTACGGTAGCTTTTTTTATTGATGCACGTTTTTAAAAAATAATTTTAAGGGATTAATTAAAATGCAACAAGAAAAACAACAAGAAAATTTAGAGCTTTGAGAAAAAGCAAGTCAGTGAAGAGTTAATCTTTCTCAGTGAATGACTGCTTCACACCTATGAAACATCACCGGTGTCTAATAGCATAGATTTCATCTCCGGTGTCTAATAGCACAGGTTCATCTCCACTTCATAAGAAAAATTAATGAAATGAAAACAATCAAACCAATCTCTCAAAACATATGCACACATATGAAGATGTGGAAAAGAAAATTTAAACTGCAAATGAAATTAGTTTTTATATAAAATTGTTCGCTTATATTGGATAACAAATTCTTTCAAGTCGCAGTCAGCAAGTGCAAAAGATTATCCTAACAGAACTCGCTAAAATTTTCTTATTATTTGCCGGTGGCAGTGTGCATGATAAATGGCTATTTTTCAATGTATTTATAATTTGTGAAGAATTCTTTTGGTATCATCAAACGATGAAAATTTTTATTATCATAACCAACCACTTTAGATTCAAAGAAGTTATAAAAAAAAATCACCGGCAGCTTCAAAAATAAAACATTAGCATTGCCTAAAACGAAACATTGCCTAAACCAATTAAAATAAGTGATAAATTTTTGCATGATCAAGAAGAGATAGCTGATAATAATAAGCTGAACAAATATTTTGTTTTTGTTGAACCAAATTTATTCAAGTAAATTTCTCATTTAAATCCATTAGATAATGTAACAGTTCCTAATACGTCACAGTTTAATTCATTTGAACTAAATTTTATGCCATTTAAATTTTATGCCATTTAAAATTTATGACATTTAAATTTTATGCCATTTAAATTTAAATGCCAAATAAATTAATTGGAGCAAAGTTAATATTGATGTAAACATTGTTATTAAACAATTTGAAGTAATAAAAGACTTTTTAAGATTTTTTCTTGTTCAATAGCAAATAGTTTTTCCGAACCAACTAAAAATAGCAAAGGTGATTTCTATATTTAAAGGAGGAGATTTAAATAATCGTGATCTTAGAATAATAGGGTTTATTCTCCCTTTTGTGCTGTTGAGAGAACTTAACAAAATATATATTATATACTCTCTTAAATTTTTACTTAGAATTATACTCTTTTAAATTTTTAAAACCTAATG